TTTCACCTCAAAACAACTTATCCCATACATGTTTTATATAATTTTTATATTTTCTCTTGAAGTTGGAAAAAGCGGCTTTTAGCTCTTCTTTGTGCAATCGTAGAAGGGACATTGTCGCGTTGTTGATAATGTGGTATTGTTGCCCTTTTCTATTAATGGTGCGTTTGGGAGTTTGATTTATTCGGAAATATTCCTGCTACATACATCACTTTCATTGCCAGACATTAGTGTATTCTCCTCTAGTTTCACGTCAAAACAACTTATCCCATACATGTTTTGTATACTTTTAATATTTTCTCTTGAAGTTGGAAAAAGCGGCTTTTTAGCTCTTCTTTGTGCAATCGTAGAAGGGACATTGTCGCGTTGTTGATAATGTGGTATTGTTGCCCTTAATCTATTAATGGTGCGTTTGGGAGTTTGATTTATTCGGAAATATTCCTGCTACATACATCACTTTCATTGCCAGACATTAGTGTATTCTCCTCTAGTTTCACGTCAAAACAACTTATCCCATACATGTTTTGTATACTTTTAATATTTTCTCTTGAAGTTGGAAAAAGCGGCTTTTTAGCTCTTCTTTGTGCAATCGTAGAAGGGACATTGTCGAGTTGTTGATAATGTGGTATTGTTGCCCTTTTCTATTAATGGTGCGCATGTGTAGTACGTGAATTAATCTACGCATGCGCATAAATGGTTCTACTCTACAAGCCATAGTATGTATGGCCATGTGTGTTGCTTTTCTCAAAATTAAAAGAAATCTGTAATCGTTGCTTTACAAATTCTTTCACATACCGTTATTGTCGGTGTCGTTTTCGTGTCGCTGTGACATAACTGAAATAATTTTCAAAACGGTGTTAAACCGAGTCCTTGGACGGATGACCGTGTTCGGCAGCATTGCTTCTGACAGTTTCTAGGGCTTCGGACTTGCCCCTTACTGAAGTACATATAACACACGGGGTGTCTCGTGGGGCAAGTGACTTTGTTCAAAATATACCTCTGTTCAGCAGCAGTGAATGGGTACCCGTTAGGATGAGATGGCAGTGAGGCTATTAACCTTCCAGCGCCTCACAGGCAGCTTGGGTTGTACATTTCCCAGGGAGCTGAGAATGAAATCCCAGTGCATCACTGATCCATTGACTGGGGTAATAATGCGCTTGGAACATGCTGTTCAGCATGGAAAACTGGACAAAAATGAACTTTTGATATAACTAGATCAAAAATAAAGCCACGATTGGTCAAACATTCGTTTATGCGGCTTGGCATAATCCGAATCAATCTCCCAGTGACAATTTGAGTTTGGATAACGTAGCGGGTGGCATTTGGTAGCTTACACGTCTACCGATCATGTTTGTTTGTTTGTTTGTTTGTTGTTAATAGCCACACTCAGCCATATTCCAGCTATATGACGGCGGTCTATAAATAATCGCGTCTGGACCAGACAATCCAGTGATTGATATCATGAGCATCTATCTAGGCTATTTGATTACGAAGACATGCATCAACCAAGTCAGCGAGCCTGACTACCCGATCCTGTTAGTCGCCTCTTACGACAAACGTGGGTTGCTGAAGACCAGTTCCAACCAGGATGTTCACGTGTGTAATTTGCGAATAGGAAACAGCTACGATTATCAATGCACAAATTCCAACCAGGATGTTCATGGGTGTAATTTGCGAATAGGAAACAGCTACGATTATCATTGCACAAATTCCAACCAGGATGTTCACGGGTGTAATTACCGAATAGGATACAGCTACGATTATCAATGCACAAATTCCAACCAGGATGTTCATGGGTGTAATTTGCGAATAGGAAACAGCTACGATTATCAATGCACAAATTCCAACCAGGATGTTCACGGGTGTAATTACCGAATAGGATACAGCTACGATTATCAATGCACAAATTCCAACCAGGATGTTCACGGGTGTAATTACCGAATAGGAAACAGCTACGATTATCAATGCACAAATTCCAACCAGGATGTTCATGGGTGTAATTTGCGAATAGGAAACAGCTACGATTATCAATGCACAAATTCCAACCAGGATGTTCACGGGTGTAATTACCGAATAGGATACAGCTACGATTATCAATGCACAAATTCCAACCAGGATGTTCACGGGTGTAATTACCGAATAGGAAACAGCTACGATTATCAATGCACAAATTCCAACCAGGATGTTCATGGGTGTAATTTGCGAATAGGAAACAGCTACGATTATCAATGCACAAATTCCAACCAGGATGTTCACGGGTGTAATTACCGAATAGGAAACAGCTACGATTATCAATGCACAAATTCCAACCAGGATGTTCACGGGTGTAATTACCGAATAGGAAACAGCTGCGATTATCAATGCACAAATAAGAGGAGACATATTGACACCACTTATGTCGCAGATAAAAAATGATCTGCTCAAAACAAAAACTCGAACATGAATCCGACGCGTCTTATCCACTGCACCAGGTCTAAAATGGACCAGGGTTTTTTCAAATCTCCAATCGTCAGATCCTCGAGAACCTGAATCAATAACTGTAGTACTCGACCATTACACTTCAACATAAGTACCTACTCAAAACCATCTGCATACTTACTCCTCCCAACAACATGCTTTCTCAAACCTCTTTACAACATTAATGCTGTTTACACAAATAAGTGACGTGTTATATTGAATGATAAATCGACCAACGTAAACCAGTCTTAAACAACGAACAACAGAACATGAAAGTGAAGGTGTGGCTTTGATGGTTCCTTTTACTTAAAACACCGAGGAAACTATTTACTTCTCACACATAAGATTTATATAAAAGGATGTCATATGATAAAGTTTTGTAAGTGTTGGACTGGATGGTAGTATTTGATGGTAGTTACTACAATGTGTCCACATAGGGAAAGCGTTCAATATCCTTGGTGATTTGTACATATGTTAAGTAGTAGATGGACGGCTGGTGAGGTGGGCAAGGCTGTACGGTTGCTTTTATCTTCCGGAAGGAATAGCTCGTTGTGCAGGCGTACTTAAGTCTCCATGTACGTGAAATGATATAAACGGGTTCGTTGTTTAGGCACAGAACATTTTTTTAAGCAATTATGTCATTTTGTGAGTTGAATTCTAAGCCTGTGTAAGAAATGACAAATGTGCATGTAAATCTCATATTCAGGCACATATCGGTGTTTGTCATATAAATACTGATGTAAAAAGCCTTCCTGTTTTGCTTCAATAGGTATATGTTGGTTGTACGAGTAGTCAATTAAGATTACATCATGATACTGTACATCTTTATGCGCGTGTTGTGTCAAATGCCACATGCAACACGTGGTTGTATTAAGTGAACTGTACGTATAGATTGCCTTGGAAAATTAATGATAATCTGTTATTGAACTTGAAACTTTAGCTCAAATGTAAAAACACTTCTAGAACAAATTAAAGCAACAAAACATTTCCTCCGACAGGTGTATGACAAGCTCCTCAAACCATGTGACATGTGTACACATTTTCTAAAATTGATTCGTTGTTCAAACTACAAACTATGACTATGATGGAATTACTCCCAAAATGCAAACTGTATAGAGCGTTGTGTCCAATGTTCCCATTCAAGCAACGAATGTAGAATGTTTTCTACTGCCAGCTGTGACCTTTGAGCCTTCCTAACGGCAGCTGTTCCTAGAAGGATAGTACATGTTTATCTGTTTCGCGAACCCGTTTGGCTTTATTGTAAATTTACAGTGTTTTGTGTGAGTGGTGACAGGTTAAGGCTGGTAGCGGAGATCAAGTGTTACTCCGGATCGACTTTCCAGGGCTTCGTCCTTGCCCCGTACTGACACAGGTTTTTAAATATGTGCTATCTCCTTAGACAAGTGAACTGTTGGGAGACATACTATTATACTATATACAAAAGAAATTTTAAAAATGCAGCAATGAGGGTTTGGGTGATCTTTGCCCTCTCTACACGCAGTCCAGACAGCGAATGAGACTTCTCCCGGGAAGCGCTGACTAGTCGAAACCATCAAGAGCTTTTCGGAGAATCTGCAGACTCCCCAACAGTGAAGCTTACTGCATTACCCAGATTTTCTGAACGATTGTATTCCTGGCAACAAATCCGGGTACCCAATGTCAGTCAACAGATTGGAAGGTACCAAACCTAAGGCACGAAGAACAATGGGTTGTTGGACAAATTTGTAGTTGGGATGCAAGCGTGACATTTCGAAAGCGAGGTCCGCATATTTGCCATGCTTTTCCTGAATCTTGTCAATCACATTAGTGTGGTGGACCTCTTTGTCAAAACGACAAGCATGGCGCCATCATATCGCTGATACACTATATCGGAAAGTCTCATCAAATTCATTGCATAAGCTGCATTTCATATTTACATTTTGATGCAAAACACTCTTCTCCATGAATCCGGGCTGATTTGATGTGGCTTTTCGCTTGGTTGATACTGATTTCTGTACCGTCCAGCAGTACAGAACAACCAACAAAATCAACACTGACTCTGAGATTATGTCCCACATCCTTCGCACGTTAAAGAAAACTGTAGTATGAATTGTCTTCATCATGAGTCATGCCGTGCTTCACAAGAGGATCATCAGACAAATAAATGTGTACACAATACAATTATATCATGAACAGCTCCCACTTTTAATCAAAGCACGCCCTCCCATAATAATTGGTGAATGTAAACGATTAAGGGGAGAACGAGTGTGGCGGGATCTATTGTCTGACATGATTCTTCGTGTGAATTTGTCAATACCCTGACTTTCTTGTTTCGTTCAATCAACACCAAAAGAATACGCACTGGTTTTCCCATTTGTTATCATTATAAGGACCAGGGGACTAAAATGTTAGTTTCTACCGCTGTTTAAATTAATCAGTGTATACTTATACATCATCAATTTCACAAGTAACGGTAACAGAAATGAGGGTTTCATGTGTTTCACTTTGAGTATTTTAAAAAACCCAGATTTCTATTGAACTGTCAACAGATAATATTTTGGTTTCAGCTTTACAACCCCTGTCTTCATGGCGGAGACCACAACCCTGACACAAACATCTGTCGGTGTTTCAATGGCTACAAAGGAGATGTGTGTGAAGATGTGATTACAGGTAGGTCTGACACTTAGCAAATTATGACTTTATGCATTATGGGCTGTAATTTATATAATTCAAGCGTCGCTACGAATTTAATACTTTTGATATTAGTTCAAGTCATGTATTCACGATTCACATCACCATTGTAAATATATGGACAAATATAATCATGCAGTGTCGGTGATAGGGTATGCAAAATGATTTTTATTGGAACAATGATGTGCCATCCAATTTGACGAGACTCAGTTTATCATATTGCTAATATCAGCACTGTAAAAGTGTCTCATGTCATTTGGGATGTGTGATTTCGTTACGGATACGCACACACGCACGCACGCACGCACGCACGCACGCACATATACTTACATACACATTTATAACTATGCAATTGACGTACGTTGCAGACTGTTCCGATGGTGTGGCTCATTACAACGGACAGAATGGCGAATATATTATCCAACCTCATCTGTCCCCCCGCCCATTTATTGTCTACTGTGACATGGCCTTAGGTGGACGAACCACCATTTTGAAACAGAGCACTGGAAATGAAAACTTCAACAGACCGTGGGATGACTACAAGAATGGATTTGGAAACATTTCAGGAGACCATTGGCTGGGCAATGACTACATCCACTATATCAGCTACAGCAGAAAACACTCGCTCTTGGTACAGGTTGAAACGGGTAGCAGCTATCACCAGTATTACATGCAGGACTTTGGAGTAAATGATGAAGCAAGTAAGTATAACCTGACGTTTGGCCATCATTTCACCAGTGACAAGTTTCATGAATCCCTCGAAGACTGCCTTGGACCGTTGTACGGTTCATCATTCAGCACCCCGGACCAGGACAATGACAACAGTGCTCGGAACTGTGCTCAGGACTTTCAGTCAGGCTGGTGGTTCAAGGACTGCTCCACTTGCAATCCCACGGGCGTGTATGAGGCATCCCCAGTCAGTGGACAGGCTGGCGGCGCTGACAGTGACCTACACTGGACTCCTGGGCAGGGATTGGCAACCCGGTCCCCGAGGATGATGCTCTTGTACCTGGTCTACAACAACCCAGACACGTGGGGATAAGACAGTCAGCTTGGCCCTGGTCAGGCAGCCAAGGATGATTGAAAGAGACCAAGGCAGCAATGGATGAAGAAATACATTAAATATATTAAAAACGGAACAGATGACTTTTAACATTTTAGGTGTTACTCACAGCTTTCAGCGTCGGAGTGATCATTCATACCTTATGCCCGCAAAACAAAAGACAGAAAAAGAACTTCTCCCCCTAGTCTATTCCCACCTGCTCTGCTATCGATAGGTTCCTGTGGTGACCCTCTTTTGCCGTTATGCTCTGCATACGAAAGACAAATAGAATGAATATCCAACATATATAGTGCTTCTTTAGACAAAGGCATTAAGGTACGTGCATTTTCGAAATGGTCTCATATACTCTAAGCTCATTTCTACATTGAAAGTTTCTTTAGTGTTTGTGTTGTGCCTTAAAGGCTTTGCTAAAAAGTGATATTTATAATTCCTCTTTTTTTGTTGTCTTGCCCTATGTATTTGTATTTCTCAATTAAAAATGCATTCTGCAAAAGCGAGTTAGTGAATGTTGTTTAACCAGAGTTAGCATTCCAGCTACATCACTGCGACCTGAGCTAATAAAGTCGGGATCAAGGAAAACAGTGGACGAAAGAATAAGGAACCATTTATACCATCGGGGTACGGTGACAGGCCATCTGATATTGTCTGGCAACCCGATCACCATCTTAGTGGACTCTAGTTACCTATATATATTCATCACACAAGTTTCTGTAAAAGACACATAGTCCACTGCAAATGAATACACCATGCTAGGATTGCTTAGCCAAACATGATTTTGAATGTTTTACTATTATATCTTTATAATAAGTTTATTTATATATCCAAAATAATCACAAACAGAGAAAACTAAACAAAATTTTAAATTGGATTTCCGTGATCGAGGGAATTGTCTGGTATCTATAAAATAAAACTTTTGGAACCAGAACAATTTTCATATTAATTTGTTTTTACAATGGTTCCCCGCAAATGCAAATCAACAGGACTTTGAAATTGCCAGTTACACAGAGACATTTTTGAGTGAGCGAGTTGGTTTAACGCTGGTTTGGACAGTATTTCAGTTATATCACGGCGGGCCAGTTTGATGTGGAAAGTCTGAAGTGATGCAGTTGTTAGACGTTTATCACCTTGGTGAAATCCACAAGGACGGGTTAAAAGCTGACAAACCCAAAAACTTGAACACGGTGAACCGGGATTCGAACCCACGGTCATAGCTTTCTGGTACGCCTCGGGGACGCCTCGGGGACGCCTCTCTACACAACGAATTGCGACGCCTGAAACGACTCGGTCGTGCTTCCATTTGTGAGACTAGTGCAGTTTGTGAATGATTATATAGAGGTGTGGGGAGAATTACTATGATACCCTGAACGTTCTCCATATCATAAAAATAATAATGATACCAAAAGTTAAATGTGTCTTGGCCTTGATTAAAATATGTGATCAACTGAACTGGAAGGAAGATAAAGACGTATTTCTGTCCAGAAGCTAGACAGAGAACTTGTGCGATTACTTACGTGAAATATCCCGTTTTCAAGCAGACCCGTATAAATAAAACTATATGGGATCTATTCCTCTGTACTCTCATTTGCAGAGATTTTACTGTTGCACCAGTCGTATTCTACTGCCGTCCAGTCACATCGAAACAACTACTCAGGTCATCTCAGTCCCGAAGACCATTTGGCCAACAGTGGAAGGAATCCATATTGGACTGGATTCACTAGTTGCACGAGTCAACACAAATCTGTCGGCAGTCCCTTACACAATACTGCTCGATATGAAATTCTAAAATTCGGTCGTCATGTTGATCGAACTATTAACACATAGAAACTAATTAAGCACAACTCATAGTTTCATGAATGAGTGGGGCGGTCGTATAGTCTGGTGGTTAAAGCGTTTGCTCGTCACGTCGAAGACCCGGGTTCGATTCCGGACATGGGTACAATGTGTGAAGCCCATTTGTGGTGTCACCCGCCGTGATATTGCTGGAAAATTGCTAAAAGCGGCGTAAAACCACACTCACTCACTTCATGTATGAGTCAAGTTACTTGCAGCCTAGTGCAAACTGCGTCCGAGATGATAGTATCCAGATGTTTCCTGCTTACCAGAGTCATCAGTCATGAAGTAAACAAGGGTTTGAGTTGAAACAATGACACTTCCTCAGAATTGTTGACATTTTGAAGAAAGACATTATATTCACAAAATTAGTGGAAATTACTATTCTCACACAATAAATACTTAACTGCTTCAAACCAGTCTGTATCAACTGAATCGTAAACCAATGTCAGTAGATGCAATATTGCTAAAAGCGGCGTCAAACCACACTCACTCACTAAAATACAACCACCACAAATAGCAACACTATGTGATTATATCTATAGAAATAATACCAAGAATATTGATGACGTTCATATATTAATACATATTTGAAAAAAAGAAATAAAACTATAGATTAGGTTACACGTCGATAGCCACACAATCAAAGATAGCTTTTCGCATGTAAATATTATGTACACATGCGTGAACGCACGTGCATTAACGCATTCACAATAAGGTCGTGCAACAACAGTAACTCTCCATAACCACAAGGCGAGGTTTTTGAACAGTTGACGAGACGAAAGAGAATGTCATCTCTTTGTGAGGAACTGTTATTGACTCAAAATTCTTTGCATGACATCAGTTCTCATGAAAGTGAAGGCAATGATTATGTTTTTGTTAGTCGGACATATCAGGAAAAAAAATTGAATGCAGTAAGCCGATTCTTACCAGTAAAACTGTTGATAACCCCACCAATATTACTAACACAGCGTCTGACAACGATGTTGTAGCGTCATGTAAAGTCGACTATGCCAGTTGTGACGCCGCACTTCAATACTGATACCTGTTTTCACGTCCCATTGACAGAAGAATTGTAACAGAAAAGGTAAATATTGTTTCCACATATAAATTTAGTTACATACATTCACTGGAAGTACATGTTGGCTTTTGTCGGTCACAAATATAATACCTTCAGCAATTTTAGCTCCAACGAACGTTCTAAGGACGGTGGCATTGGATGGAAATGTAAAATATAAACGGTGACTCAACAATATGTTTTAGGCACCATTCTTAATTGAAAATCATGAGTTTAGAGTCTTAAAATGTTGTGACAACGGTATATAGGGCAAACAAATCACCCTATTTCTGGTGTAAACAATCTAAACTGAATTCATGTATGGTGTCCACATTGATATACGCAGCACAGTGGTATATTGGTTAATGCGGCCCAGATTCGATTGACCGTTACGCTGATCCCAATCTCATTAAAATCAGATCTTAGTTTTCGTTACCGCTAAACAAAGATCTGAGGACATCCCATTATGGGTCACGTTAGACCGACCTTGCACGAACTTTGACCGACCAATGGAATGACCAATCAGAAAGCAGCTCTCTCGTGCTTTACGGCACTAATTTCAAATTGGCGACTACGCTTCGAAACATATTTTGACAAATTCTCAATTACAAATTTGAAACCTAAACAAAAGAACATTCTGGAATGGCTAATAGATGGTCAAGATTGTATGGTTTCAGCCGTTAAACCCGTAACTATCGTTCGAAATACCCCGTGTTAAAGTTTTCGAGGTTGTATGATTAGAAATCACATTCCGACAGTCACGTTCATGATCTGGTAAGCGACGTTCTGATTGGTCGGATGAAAGGTCTGTCTGACGTGACCCCTAATTGGATGTCTTCAAATCTTTGTTTAGCGGTAGCGAGAACTAAGGTCTGGTTTTAATGAGATTGTGCTTATCCTTGAACAAGGCACTTGGATGTGTTAGTATTGTAAGAGAACACCGTGTAGCGCTAAGGGGAAGCTTGGGCTGATATACCTGAGGGGGTAGAGAAAGTACTGGTTTGCACATTAACCGAAAACCTTGGATTTCTTTAGCGCTTTGTGCACCCGCCTTAGGGTTGGTTGGTTGGTTTGTTGTTTATAGAAGCACTCAGCAATATATGATGGCGGTCTATAAATAATCGAATCTGGACCAGACAAACCAGTGATTGACATCATGAGCATTGATCCACGCAATTGGGATCAGGCGCCATATAAGTATACACATTTTAATTTAATTTTACCACACACTATATGTTTCATTTGTCATATGCGGAAAACAGTATGACCCCTGCACTGACAACTAAAGTACTCACGGAAATGAAAAAACCCTGTTTTTTTCGACCTAAGATCTTAAATAAATGCAGTTAATATACAAAATATGTAAATATTCAAACAACTAAATTAGTACTTATTGGGCCGTGGCACAAATACAGCGTATCAAATGTTTTTATGCCTTTTTACACGTAAAAGTGTGTAAAAATGTGAATAAAACAGACTATTGTGAAACAGGGCATAACCAGGTGTAAGTAGATCAAGGTGACCTATGACACCTTGACGACAGGTGAGAACAGGTGCATAATGCCTATAGTCTGTTTCTGCTATGTCAATTTGGACAGTTTTATTTTTGAATGTTGAAAGTGCCGACAAATTACCTCCTGTAAAGTACATTGTGTATTGTTCACTGAGATCAAACTAGCAAATCCAGACTTGTACTTTTCGAGTTGTTTTGTTATTTCGTATTTACAGCTATGTAACGCTTTGTGTCGATTTTTAAATCTGAGGACATCCCATTATGGGTCACGTTAGACCGACCTTGCACGAACTTTGACCGACCAATGGAATGACCAATCAGAAGGCAGCTTTCTCGTGCTTTACGGCACTAATTTCAAATTGGCGACTACGCTTCGAAACATATTTTGACAAATTCTCAATTACAAATTTGAAACCTAAACAAAAGAACATTCTGGAATGGCTAATAGATGGTCAAGATTGTATGGATTCAGCCGTTAAACCCGTAACTATCGTTCGGAATACCCCGTTTTCGAGGTGAGTACTTTTAATAGTTAATTCGTTTCTCTCCAAACATCGGGTTCGTGAGATATTTCTATCTGTTCACTTTTGACATCAATGTTGTTTACAATTCCTGCGCACGTTCGCATGTCCATAAACTGTATCACTCTGAGTATGTATTTTTAGATGTATTTTGAAAATTAGCATTTCATTTCATTTTTAATATTTCAAATTCTCGGAGAGCACGGAATTGAAGATTCGAGGGGCGAAACGACTGTTCCAACATTGACTGACTAACAGAAATGCCCTCATCCTAGGAAGCAAGATACCTACGTCATTGAGTGTGATATGTGTGTTTGGAGGACATGACTTTTGATGAGCTAAACTATGCTATATACAGGTTTGGCTGCGAGTGCGAGATGAAGAATGCAGACGGCACCGACTACCTCTCGGATACATTGTACCCATCAGTTATAAGCCTGCAGATGTATATGGATGGAATGGGAAAACCATATAAGTTTCTGAATGCCGAGTGCCTTGTACAAATGAACAAGCCATCCCCCCCCCCCCCCCCCCCCCCCCCCCACACACACACACACCTCCTCACGATCTGATCTTTTGTTTCATTGCCAGTGGATACCTTCAGTTCAATGAAGAAAAAGTAATAATGATGTTCAGTATTTTACTATATCCTAAATCACCAAAAGGCACCAGTTCACCACTTTACTGATCTGTATAGCAAGTTTTATCTGGAAATATTCAACAAGATAGACAGAATTTTATGGATAACAACTTCTTTAATACTGTGAAAAGCGACGTTTCGGTATAGATCCTTATACCGTTGTCAAGCAAGACTTGCTTGACAACGGTATAAGGATCTTTACCGAAACGTCAACTTTTAAGTAATGCCTATCAAACAAAATATTCAACAGTTTTGGAGATCTTCACCGCAAACGAGCTCTACCCTGATTTTTCACATCAGGTAATAACATCACGCGAGGACGGGACTATGTTTGGTTATTAGCTGCAGCACAATGTACACAACACCTACTGTGCCCCAGACTGATTATATACTACTAATATACCCTTCCAATGTTCACGAAACACCAGACTGCATCGACACAATACAATGCATCTCTAATACACCCTGTATTGCTGACATATTACTGTCCGTGATTATTTGCAGCAGCTTTTGATCTGGCGCTGGGCCCGAGAACAAATATTTGAAAACGAATGTGCAAACTTACTCTAACAATATATTTAGCAACGCAAGCGTCATGGCATTTCAGGGAATCATTAATAAACGAAAGAAAGATTTTGTTGCATCATCATTAAAATGTTCTTGGGATTGTTTTAGCAACAGGACTGCTTCAAAACACGCACTTACTTTCAGGTAAAATCTGACGTCACATATGAATTCTGTCAAGCTTCTGGAACAATCTATTTCGAGAGATCAGTCAGTGGCACCATCAGAGCATCTTGCGCCACCTTCATATACAAGTGACGTACTATTTCGTTATGCGTTTAGATAATTCGCAAAATTTACTTAAGTTGTAAATACAATACATTACTACTGTCATCCTGTCAGATATCACAACTTGTGTTTTGATTTAAACACATTTTATTGCTAAAAATCAAAATGGATTATTCATTACATTGTAATATGTGAATAATGATAGTGCAGAATATAAGTGTAGTGCATAGAAATCATATACAAGTAATGCGAATAACACACACACACACACACACACACACACACACACACACACACACACACACACACACGTACGCACGTGCATATATACAGTATTACACACAAACACATATACCTACATGCACATATATATACACACGCATACTTATACACGCGTATATCTGTTATATACTTGTACATTTTTAAAGATTTGTAATGGATTTATAATACAACAGTGGTTAACAAAATAATTAAATTCAAGTAAAGGGCGGGAGCCATAGCATTTTACTAAGCTTTGATTATTGCATCGGTTGTTATTGTTTTACATTAAGAGTCATAACGAACGGAAAATAAAATATAACTGAGACATTTTGTACTGAAACAAGCATGCATTAAATGTGCAAGTCACATGTAAAACAAGATACAATATATAATTTAGAAGTAGCTAGTGATAGATAGTAACTTGTATACTTCAAAACGTATCGAACTTACTTTCGCAAGTTAGATATGTTTAAGAATTGAATTCAATGTTTGCTGCGTTTATGAAGGTATAAATGTAAAATAGTAAACTTTTGACATATATTAAATTTAATTCTTATAGATATAAAATAACTTCACAGTCTGAATATTTAATCATGAAGACAAATAAAAGTGCAAACAACAATACGAAATCAGTGGCATCGTTCAGTGCAATACTGCAACACAAGCCTTACCATTCTATTATTAGCCAATCAGGAAACGGTAGTTAGGTTTGAAAAAGTAGGGCACACCCACTAACTAACTAACTGAAAAAAAAAAAAAAAAAAAAAGCCACGAAAACACATACATTATATTAATTTTGAAATACAGTAACTCGTGATATATAGGCTAACTACTGTGTGTATATATATATGTGTGTGTGTGTGTGTGTGTGTGTGTGTGTGTGTGTGTGTGTGTGTGTGTGTGTGTGTGTGCGTGTGCGTTTGGACTTCTTTTGAATCATAATAAAAAAATCATAATTTATTCTTAATTTCATTTGCTGTAGTTATAATTCAATACAGGTTAACTGGTTGTACTGACAGAAGTTCAGAAAATGTGCCATCACAGATTTCCCTTTCTCCATAACCATGACAACTACATGTGCTGGCTTTATCTTGCGTCCTTTCAGTTTGTGCAACTTGTGTGCTTCAGTCCTCTCAGATTTTGCCACTGTTGTGCTAGACTTGCCACAGAAATAAATACAGTAACTCATTACAGACAGCTCATGAAGTCCAGTACCCTTGATGTGTGATCTGGGATTTTTGTCTAGGATTCCAAACTAAGCGCCACAGGCAATACAATTGTTGAAAGTTTTGTTCGAAATTGGGATTTCTTTAACTTATATTTCTTTTTTAAAGCCTGAGGCATTTTAACCTTGCGCACAATTCAATAATTTAAATCTGAGTATTAAAACCTCTCTGTGAAATTGGCCCTTGTATTAGTGGAGTACAAGTTACATCTTTAATACTTTTAAAAATGTCAAAACATGAAATGGGAAATTTGACTTGTGGCTAAACATCGACCTTTCAGCAGGCGGTGTGAAATGATGGTGTGAACATGTGCACATGTTTCTGATGCCCAAATGAAACATACTAGTTTACGTTATGATTCATTTATTATAAAAATACAAACCAACAAACTGTTGATGGTCAATGAGCAGAGAGGGAAACTAATTTATTCATAGAATTGCTACAAATTGACACAGCTATTTTTACGCCAAATGGAATCTGTTTCGGCAGAAAATCTAGGATGGTTATTCTCTTGCATTGACAATTTATATTTACTCAAATTGGGTCGATGTTTCTGCTGGTGGACTGAAGTCCCGAGTTTCATCTTAGACTCAGTGGCATTTGTCTATGCTGAGTCGGCTACAAAAGATATGATTGGACCGTGGCTTAAGAACTGTGCCCCACTGAGTTATGTACACATAAACGTTATTCAAGATTAACATACTCTTCCTTATTAGTTTCGGCGAAATTAGTAAATGCACTGTCGTGCCACTTGATTGTCTGGTTTGATTGGTGGTGGTGGAGGGTATTTTATGATATATTAAATAAAGTATCCAACCAACAATATGCTATCCCCAAAAATACATTCAAAGATGGGAACTAGATCTTGGCCTTAACATGACGGAAAAAGATTGGCAAACGATTAATCGTAGCCCCCTCAGATATAATGTGTCCTCAAAACAAAAACGGTTCCAATACAGTATTAGTCATAGAATTATACCAACAAACGAGTTATTGTTCAAAATGGGATATAAACAATCATTTCTTTGCAATTTTTGTAAACGAGAAAAACAAAACTTAGTGCACATGTTCTTTGAGTGCAAAATTGTAAAACATATCTGGAACAACCTTACAAAAAGGATCAAAGACAAAACTGGAATAGAACTAGAATGTTCAAAATTGACAATTTTATTAGGATATCAACAAAAACGAAATGATGTATTAAATCATACTATAACTGTAACAAAGCAAAACATATTCAAATCAAACATTTCCGACTCCGCACCAAATTTTCCCACACATCAAACAAGAATTAACAGATTCATATTACATCGACAGAAATATATCATATTCACAATGTAAATACACACAGTCCGTGACATTTTGGTCTCTTTGTCACCACCTATACGTTTAAACCCACGAACTTGCACAATCCAACAATATGACACTGGAATAGTTTTTGTTTGTCATCATCTATAGATATACTTTGTAACTTGTATGTATTTAAGATTGCATGTGGACTATATTCTGTAAACATATTGTTTGTGTACTCCTAAAAAGAAATAAAATCACAAAAAATATATTCAACTGCCCTTTATGTGAAGATGTGAGAGATACATATTGTGATTTGACAGTTAAAAGTAGCCTACCATACCATGTGTGTACAGTTAAAAATGAAGAAACAAATTGTACTTTTGTTGAATTTTTACTTTGAATATTCCAACTTATAATTCATTTATGCATTTTCATGTTATATGGCCTTAAATACAATATACATCTTGAATCTGGAAAAGACAAAATGTGTATAATGAATTATTGACTGATCCGTTCCACGCCTGTTATAATCTCGGCCTCAACAACGTCTTAATCTCGGCCTCAACAACGGCGATTTTCTTTCACAAGTTTACAGCTAAGATACGATACAAAACAATCTATTTACAACCCTCCTTTCTTTAGATTTTGTTTTGACGAACGACTGATAATAAATATTCTAGCAAATTCAACGCTCACGCTAATCAAGTTTCGCCGGCTGTGACATCATAGCGTTTCGTCGTCAAAAAGAAAGACTGAATGTCTTGAGTGGGGTGTGGGGCTTATTGATATGGACTGGATAGGTGTGTTGTGGTTTTACAGTTAATATAAACAAGCATGAACGGTTTTTCAAATCAATACAGTGTATAAAAAAACATAAGCTGTATTGACCCGTGTGAACAGTCCGGGACCAATCGAGATCTTAATAACCCAATCTGTTCCCAGTCGTAAGAACCATCTATATATCGTGGAATCACATTTCCCCATTTCAGTTTTCCAAAACAGATAGTAACTGTACTCCCAGTACGTAACGATTCGACATAACATAAGAAAGATTTATTCATGGAAATGGGATTTGCTGCGAGTATTGTCCTGGTAATATTTTTCACAGACTATGTCATTTCAGGGGTCTTTAAGGGCTTTGAGGTTGTGGGGTCTTGTATGGAGCCTCATAGCTTCAATGGTGGGCCCTTGAGGACATTTGAAGGTCACACCGCTACATCCTGTGCCAACATGTGCAGTGGGGAGACACTATGCCATTCATTCACGTTCAGGAAATCCTCTTCAACCTGTTTTCTCCATCGTGCTTACATTCCCGAGTGGCCCTGTGACAAATCTGGCGATCTCCACTTCAATGACGTGAGTACCTTCAGGCCAATTGATTGACTTTGTGTTCTGTTTCCCTGGTTATTAACACTATTTACTTAAAAAGGGCATCTGATAAAAACGTGCAAGTGTTGGACTACAAAGATGTATTTAACACGCGGTTGTGTGAAGTAAACTGTATGTTGGGAATGTGTTGAAACTTGGAGTCAGGAATCTTCACCTATATTCAGCAGTTTAAGCCATAAGCATTTGTACATATTTAGATATAAGTTGTTGTTGTAACTGCATGTAATCTACAATTATATTACTAAATATTTTCGTGTTTCTATGGACACAGATATTGTGAAATGTCAACAGGTGCGAACCTTTCTTTGTTTCAATGTCTTGTTTGTATTATTTAAATTAGTCAGTGTATACTTACCCATCACCAATATCACAAGAAACAGGAGATTTAAAGAGGTTTCATGTGCTCCACTAAGATTTCTATTGTTTCGGTAGAATGACTGATACACTCAGAAGTGTTCTTACTGATCTTGTAAGGGCAAATTGACTTGTAGGTTTTCAACTTCTTCTTGTAGCATATTATTTTAGTGTTAGTGACCATCCATGTACATGTATGTTCATGTAACCCTTGACACGTGTGTTAGGAACTGTCAACAGATGATATTTTGGTTTCAGGTATATAACCCCTGTCTTCATGGCGGAGACCACGACCCTGACACAAACATCTGTCGGTGTTTCAGTGGTTACAAGGGAGATGTTTGTGAAGATGTGATTACAGGTAGGCGTGATAAACGAAGTTTTGTTTGTTTGTTTATTGTTTAACGCCGCACTCAGCAATATTCCAGCTACATGACGGCGCTGTGTAAATAATCGAGTCTGGACCAGACAATCCAGAGGTTGACATCATGATCATCGATCCACGCAATTGGGACACGATGACATGCATCTACCAAGTCAGTAAGCCTGACCACCCGATCCCGTTAGTCGCCTCTTACGACAAGCATAGTCGCCTTTTACGGCAAGCACGGGTAGCTGAAGACCTATTCTACCCCGGCTCTTCACGGGTAACGAAGTGGCTGACGACTTTTATGAACGTGTGATTCAAATACACAATTGATAGTTAAATCGTATATAAAACATGATTATTAGTATACAGATATATATCACACAGATATACACGACCTGGGCACGATGTGGTTTGGCATTGTCATCTTGCTGTTCAATTTTATTCCGATAATTCCAGCAAATGAAACAATGACAAGACCAAACATTTCGTCAACATACCGCTGGCCAGTCAAATGTCCATTCACAATTACCAAATCATTTCGTCTGTCATGTGTTATACCGTCCAGACCATGACACTACCGCCCCTATACCGATCTTGGTCAACATGGTTGCCCTGGCATACCGCTCGCCGCTACGTCGCCAACGTTTTCTGCCATCTGTGAATCGAGGCTAAACATGGACTCGTCTGTGAACATGGTGTAACGCCATCTGCGCACAGCCCGTCCCTTTTGTTGCCTTGCCCACTCCAATTTTGCGGCCTATGGTAAGCTGTCATGGCATTCTCTATTGATAAGAGGAGAAGATTTAAATCTATTGCGTAGTGCAATAATGTAATAAGTCGATCTTGTCAAGATGTCATTTTTCAGGCAACCCAATCCGTTACTTATCCCACAGTCGAGACATTACACATATTGATTTGCCAAACATTGGGGCAGCTTGGGATATTGAAATCTTCCCTCTATCGTACAGTTCGCCATTTTGACTGTTCATTGAGACACTGTCTCAAAGGCATTTTAAGCGTGTGCTTAGGTCAATTGTGAGTTCTCCAATATACGCACACAATTTCGTTTCGGTGTGCTTTCATTGTGATTAGATGTTGCGTTGAGATGCAACACCACATTATGGCAAACGTACACCTCAACGATAGCTACATTCAAGTTATTAATTCACTTAGTTTGCTGTGAGATTGGTGGTGTGAAGTATTATTCTTGACGTTGCAGACTGTTCCGATGGTGTGGCTCATTACAACAGACAGAATGGCGAATACATTATCCAACCTCATCTATCCCCCCGCCCATTTATTGTCTACTGTGAGATGGCCTTTGGTGGACGAACCACCATTCTGAAACAGGGCATTGGAAATGAAAACTTCAACAGACCATGGGATGACTACAAGAATGGATTTGGAAACATTTCAGGAGACCATTGGCTGGGCAATGACTACATCCACTACATCAGCTACAGCAGAAAACACTCGCTCTTGGTACAGGTTGAAACGGGTAGCAGCTACCACGCGTATTACATGCAGGACTTTGGAGTAAATGATGAAGCAAGTAAGTAGAACCTGACGTTTGGCCATCATTACACCAGTGACAAGTTTCATGAATCCCTCGAAGACTGCCTTGGACCGTTGTACGGTTCATCATTCAGCACCCCAGACCAGGACAATGACAACAGTGTTCGGAACTGTGCTCAGGACTTTCAGTCAGGCTGGTGGTTCAAGGACTGCTCCACTTGCAATCCCACAGGCGTGTATGAGGCATCCCCTGTCGGTGGACAGGCTGGCGGCGCTGACAGTGACCTACACTGGACTCCTGGGCAGGGATTGGCAACCCGGTCCCCGAGGATGATGCTCTTGTATCTGGTCTACAACAACCCAGACACGTGGGGATAAGGCAGTCAGCTTGGCCTGGGTCAGGCAGCCAGAGCATTGAAAGAGACTAAGGCAGCAATGAATGAAGAAATACATTAAAACCGGAACAAGCCAGACACCACGGGATAACAATACAGCAATGCAGTAATTCCAATGTAAAATACATCCTTTGGTTCTACCACAATCCCATTCCCAACAAATGAATCATGACAGTGCCATGAAAACTCTTGGAAACCTTTCATTTGTATTTTTAAAACTTCTGTTTAAATAAAAGGCCTGCATGTTCTGTAAAGAAAAGTCTTGTACTTGCTTAAACCAAATCGTTCTGGCTTTAGTGTGGATTAAATAATTCAAAGTTTCTACCAGTAAAGCAGGAGATGCTTACCCTTTCGCGATCACAGATGTCCAGAGATCCATTCATATAATTATCATCGCTATTTTGCCTTTTACGCCCAATGGAATCTGTTTCGGCAGATATTCGAGACTGATTATGCTCTGGCGTTGATGTCTTGTATTTAGAAGTGGTCTTTTTAAGGCTTTTCGTTGAACATTTCTTTCACTTACTCTTTTTATTTGCTTGCCCCATCCATAATTTTGATTTAATAAAGGTTTGTCTTAATCATTCTCTTTGAATGGCTATATGGTTGTTGTGTTCACTCGATATATATACTTGTATTATTTTGGATATTTAAAGTTATCATATCTGTGACTCTCACTGAACTGCCTAGGACATTGTATTCAATGTATCTTTTCAACTACTTTGTTCCTGATGTATGCCTTTGAATATAATTTTGGGTGGTACTTTTCCAGCATTTAAAATTTCCATGGGAGTTTCCATTGGTGCTGAAACCGAAATATCATCATGAAATTGTTGTTCTACAAAAACTTAATCTTCACAAAAAAAAGATTGATCAAACCTGATAGTTGTGCTGATAATAAAGTATCACTTGGTAAAACTGACTTAGACCATTACACAGAAAAGTTGCTTATGTATATTTCAACGTCGTCTATGGGAAACCTTGGACAATTTAATTGGACAGATACATGTTGGAATGTGGCGGAAGAGACAAATTGATTTAATACCACGCATATGTTGTGGAAACCCTATGGAATTGTAACAGTTTCACATTAACATTTGCTCTCTAAACAGTTGCAAGTACTGGGTTGTATGACTGGCGCTCCAATCGATGGTTTGAAGATGAGAATGATTTGTTGATCTCAAACAATTGTTTTTTTACTATCCCATACGACAAACATATAGGAAAACCATAATTCGTTTTATCCGTGTTAACGAACCGTGGTTACCACAGGTACATTTACAATGTACATCTCTATCTTTAAAGGATCAGGACAATTTAAAAAAAAATGCAAAACCAAATGACATCTGAAGTTTAATGAGAAAACAATATGTAAAATTCTTGACTTCCTCATTCTGTTTGAAATTAGGGGATAAGACATTTAGGCAAGAAGTCAGCATCCTAATAGGCATCATTTGTGCTCCCATCGTTAGTGATCTGTTTCTTTATGCATTTGAATGGGAATTCTAGCTCTGATTGACAAAACCAAGACAAGCGAATTTGGCTAAGGAATTGAACTTAAGCTTCAGATCTGATATCGTTCAATAATGGTTAAATTAACTTTCACTGATTTACCAACGGGAACTAGAAATAAGAGAAACCAGTTAAACCCCCTCATTTTATTTCATATTTAAATATATGTATACGTATTCAGAAGGATAAAAATAGTCATAAACACAAGCTTTTGATGTAGTCGAAATCGTACAATGGGCAATGTACAATTCTTATGATTATGGAATACTTGTAACATACAAGTAATTCTGTTGATACTTTCAACTTCGATTGAGGGTTTCACTGGTCTATAATAATGCACTAACAAATGATAAAAAATGAATAGTCATGTAAACATCTTGCTGATAGAACATTGTTCTATCATAACGTCATTTCTGGAGATTCGAGCTTGCGCTCGCAACTTGATGACGTCCTGAATTGGACTACGTTATTTCTCAGAGGGAAGTTTCTAGTGAGTGTAACAAGAGTAGACAAGAGATATAACTATCGGTATTTGGAGAAAACCTGCAGATAATCAACGTGAAAATTGTAAGAATATCCGGAAATACCAAGCTTAACCCTCCTGTTCATAAAGTGGATTGTATTCGTCGAATCATCATTATTTCAATACGGGTAAATATTTTTTTTTAAATTTTTACATTTTATTAACATCCTTAATGAGGCTGTACATATGTTGCGCCCACAATAACTTTATAAAACCTTCTTCAGCTGAATAAAATACTACTACTGATATCCACAATATCTAGGCCTAGGGCTCTTTTCGGGTTGTCCATTTTATCACGAGTTACGGAATGTGCAACAAACAAATCATACGAACACAACAAATACGATGTTTAGAAATTAGAATTTAAAGGACATAATTGTGATCCTGATATGAGAGATGACGTATAAGATCAATTTATCATTTAACTTAAGCATTTATCCATGACATAAGCTTATGACATAAAAAACATGCATGTCATACCCCAATGACATAAGTATGCAAATTAGATATGCAAATTAGATAACCGGAAGAGGGAGCGGTTTGATTTGAAACTATATATTATAAGTGAAGTTACACCAGAGATATAATCAGATTACACAGAATCGTTGTTGTTACCGTTATTAAAGTTTCAATTATTCTGCAAAAGTCTGTTCAAGTATTTTGTTTAAAATAATCCGAGGAACTTTTTTTCTCAGCGAATTGTTTATTTTGGTTTACATGGCTATGGAACACATGTATCACTACGCACGATCTATACGTAAGATTTCGACAACTTGCTGATGTTAATGTTTAATGCAATTATTCCTTAATTTGGAAGCAAAAATGTGAAAATGATAAATAGAATTCATCACTCGTGTTTTTTAATATGGGAAATATCAACCTCGTCCCGTTAATCGGTATTTGCCTCGCCAAAGGTTCGGCAAATACCGATTAACTAAGACTCGGTTGATATTTCCCATATTAAAAAACACACGTGATGAATCCTCTATTTATTACCCTAAACTGTTATTAAGTGTTCCGCGATGTGAATTGTTGGAAAAAATAAATAAAATTCTTTGGCACATAGAGGACGATTTTCTATATATATTTCTCAATGTATACTGAAACGCTGAGACCAAGAATAAAGGTTCTAAATGATCAGAACGAACGCTTATGCGTGTTTTCGTGCTAGGGAATTCCCAGGGGTTTCCCCAGGAATGTGGAAATAGTCCGTCAGTGTTTACGTCATTTCAAGAACACGGTCTCGTGAAAAACGTATGAACGTCAAATTGTGTCGTTCATACACTTGTGAACGTCAATTTCGCGGCCATGTGACCGACCTCTCGTCCAATGGAAAAGCCGTATATCGTGTAAACTTCAAATTATTTTTTTTATTGGATTGTACGGAATGTCACTCAAATAGTTGCGTGTGACAGTGTGACCTGACAATGTGATCATGAATTCCGTATCACAATGTTGTTATTGCTGGCGGCGGGGAAATCCTCGTGACGTCACTCGGAAACACCCCGCTTTATCAATCTCAAATGAGTTCTCTGTCAGAGTTACGACAGGTTTAGGATAGTTTCGAAACTCTATTTTATCTTAAACTTAAGATATCTTATCTTTGAACGTAAGTTGTTAGGATTTATCTTAGCTAAGATCGTTTCGAAAATCTAGGCCCTGAAGTCCCCGAGTTTCATCATAAGCTACGTAGCATTTATCGATTATGCTGAGTCAGCGATAGTTCCCCACCTTCCTTTCCCCCCACTGTGTTGCAAAACGAACATATTTCTTAAACGTTTTCTTTACTTATAAGCAGAAAGTAATTATTTATATATAATGTTATGTATACACGCCAAAAGCATGTGCTATTATCATGCATTCAAATTACATATTCAGCTCCCCCGGGGTTTAACCCATGTTACGCAACACTTGGAAGAGTAGAACAACATAGGGATTACTTGATTTGGCGATGAGAGTACAACACACCTTGTCACGCCTTGCCCCCAGGGAGTAGATCTATGCAGAATGCTGTGAACCAGATGAGCAAAGACTAGAGAGAACATTGTTGTCTTCTCCCCCCAGGTGATATTTACCTGTTCATTGCGACTTTTAATTACAAGTCAAAAATGATACACACATATAAACACGTACACACATGGAGGTCTTGTAATCTGTAAACAATGACTGCTGAAGCTATCGAGAGAATGTTCTTGTGAACCGATCAATACAAGATGCATACACGGAACAATGGTGTTTATTTGGCATGTTATTGTAAACAAGAAGCATCATTTGTTAATTAGAAGAAATATCAAAAAGTCTACACGCCACAGATGAAAAATTTGATGATGCCGTGTGTTCCGTCAAGCTTTGATAATACAACAGTGAAATGTATCTTTTAGGACGACGATGTTTACAGCTGGTCCTATGCCTTTTCATCAGTTGCCTATTAGAAACGTTACAGGATTACGCCCTGGAACAAGAAACACGACAGGCGTATGATCACATTTAATGAGTTTGTCTCTTGAAATTAAAATGCTTTGATTATAAACGAATAACCTCTTAACTATCCTAAAATTTAACCAAAAATGGCATATGAACAGAAAACATTTTAGCTCACTGGCTAAAGGTATTTCGACTTCATTATTCCATAGTTTATACTGTCACATGTTACACAATGCCGACTATTCAACTATTATGTGTGTGTTGATGGTTGGTTCGCGGAATGCCGGTATCTTATGAGTCATTAGATAAAGGGGATTCATTGGAACACAATTAGGAATGGTCAAATTCACGAATCAAGTGTGAACATACACATGCAGTAGTACTTAATGATACTTTCCACACTGAATAGTACCATCTACAGAGTATAAAATGAAAGTTCAAAAATGACCATAATCATCGCCCTGGGCATACGTGAAGAAA